GAAAAACACTGTGTGAGTCAAATTCCTTCAAGTCCAGCTTCGCTCCTTTTCCACAGTTGAGTTTCCTTTATGATAAGGTGACAACCTGAGGGTACTGTGATTTATAAAGGTGACCTGTGGCTACAGTCACTGTGGTTTAAGGAAGTAATATCTCTCACCCTCTGTATTCATTTCGTAACAAACACATTGACCTCTACCCTACAACCCAAGTCTCTATCTCCAGCCATTTCTCTCTTTGCTCAGAGTCCAGTAAGAGATAGACACAAGTAGGGTGAATATTAAAATACCATGTGATAAGTTGATAAGTGCCACCATAGGAATAAATCCCGGATGCTTTGAAAGCACATAGAAAATAAGGCCAGTTCAGCATTAAGGTGTCTGGTGGCGTGAGTTAGGAAGAAAATGCAGGGGCCAAGACTGAGGCTTAGAGGCCAAAGGGTGCAGAATGGGGAAGTGGCTGACGCTCAGACTGCTGCTTGGGAGAAGGGCAGGAGTGTGATAAGAAAAGGCAGGAGAGAGAAACTGGAGGCCAATCACCAGGTCCTTTGCAATCTAGGCTAAGCAGTGTGGATTTACTCTGATAGCAAAAATGAGCCACTGAAAGTTGTTAAACTGGGGAGTATTGTGGTAAGATTTGTTTTTATCGAAGGGTGGAAAAAGACATGCGAACTCCAAAAGTGTGTTTGGGGTTAGTTGTTATGTTGTGTGACCTCTTGAGATCACATAATTTACAACTCTTAAGAGGTTTTGGAGATGATCAGACTCCAACTCTTCATTTACATATCAAGAGGCCACCAGTTTAATGAGAGGCCGGGACAGACCCCTGATGTAGTGCTTGTTCCACTCCCCTTCTGCGAACCCAGTTCTGAAGAAGCAAGGAAGGCCTTTAGTCATTTTACTACATAATATATATTCAGCCCAGTATGTATTTTCACTTTTTGTTTTTGATTCCACATATAAGCAAAATCATACATTATTTGTCTTTCTCTTCTTTGGCCACTTTTTTTGTTCCATTGTAGTTGTTCAAGACTTTCCTTTGCAATATATTCCCCAGTAAGTAGCTTGCCTTTCAATTCTAAAGGTCTTTTGATGAGCATCTCTCTGCTGTCCTACCATCACCACCACCCATCCACAGAACTCTTTCATCTTGCAAAACTGAAACTCCATGCCATTAAACAGCTCTCCATTCCCCACTTTCTCCAGCTCCTGGCACCCATCCTGCCTCCTGTCTCTATGAATCTGACTATTCCAGGTGCCTTGTATAAGCAAAATTGTACAGCATTTGTCCTTTTGTGACCAGATTATTTCAATTGAACATAATGTCTTTAAGGTTCATCAGTGTTATAGGAGGTGTCAGAATGTCTTTACTTTTTAAGATTGAATTATATTCCACTGGGTAAATGTACTACACTGTGTTTATCAGTTGATACATTAATGGTCACTTGGGTTGCTTCCACTTTTTGGCTACTGCAAATGGGTGAATTTTATGAAACATAAATTATATCTGGATGAAAAGTGAAAATTATATTTCCCCCCTCTGCCATGTAATTCATGAGTTTTCTTCAGAAGAGGGAGAGTAAAGACTGAGGGAAGGAAGTCCATCACTAAACCAGTAAGCAAATTATCTTTAATTTTAGAGAGACGGCCTTGGCCAGCTGTGATAGAGAATTAACATTTCTCGAGACCCTTTCTAAGTTAGGGGTCTTCACAAAGGTGTTAGGGGGCTTTGCACGGATTTTCTCATGAGAAAGAACTATGGTATCATTTTACAAAATGAGCCTTTGAAGTGACTCTTACACTGGAACCAAAGAGGACCAGGCTAGTCCTGGGCAGAACCGGATGGAGGTGGCAAAGGTCATCTTTGATGCTCTTGCTTCCACTGGGGGCTGAAATGATTCCCATCCTAGGATCGTTCCTTAAGGGTCTTCTCAATGAAACTCATGAATTTAAACCAGACAGAAGCATTACTTTCTATGAGACCAGTGACCTTTAATCAGGTATTATTTTGTCTGATTATCTCATTATGCCATCCATTGCCATTTATTACAGATCTGGGAGTGGGCAATGCCACAGGAGGCAAAGAAGGGGGTGAGGGTGGGGTCAGGGGCCATGGCCGCACCAGGCACTGTCAGGAAAGTGGAAGTAAGAGCATTAAAGATGACCTTTGCCACCTCCATCCGGTTCTGCCAAGATTAGCCTGGTCCTCTTTGGTTCCAGTGTAATAGTCACTTCAAAGGCTCACTTTGATACCATATTTCTTTCTCATGAGACAATCCGTGTGAAGCCCCCTAACACCTATGTGAAGACCCCTAACTTAAAAGGATTTCAAGAAATGTTAATTCTCTATCACAACTGGCTAAGATCTTCTCTCTGAAACTAGAGATAATTTATTTACCGGTTTAGTGATGGACTTCTTTCTTTCAGTTCTTACTCTTAGCAGAGTAGAATGAATGCATGTGTGTTTGGCAGTTTGAGAACTATGCTCTGAAGGAGTTTGGGATATGAGGAATAGATTAAATTGTGTAAGGCAGAGGAATAGGTGGGACACCCTGGCTGACCTGCCTGTACTCTCGAGGAGCCCCTGTGCACACACACACACACACACACGCACACACACACACGCACATGGACACACACACACAAACACTGCACATGAGTCCTGCCCCTTTCACCCTACACTTTCCTAACCAGAGATTCTCAGTGTGGTTCTCAAAAGAATTATAGGAACCATTTAAAAATACAGATGCCTGAGCCCTAACCCAGAAAAACTACATCAAGCTCTCCAAGTCTGGACCTGACCCTGGAGTTTTTCAAAGCTCCCCAGGTAATTCTCTCCCGTAGCTGTGGTTGAAAAACACTGTGTGAGTCAAATTCCTTCAAGTCCA